GGGGGGAAATGGTCTTCACAATTTAAAATCGATCGAACACAGTGATATGCTCATATAAACGCGCGCCATCTATCGTAGGATAAATGTACTATGCCAGAAACCTTCGCGGGAGTGTATTAAAAAACTTTCCAAAGTTTCATGGCAATCGGATAAACGGTGTGGTAATGCGTGGAGGACATACAGACAGACACACAGACAGACATACATTTATTTTTATATATATAGATTGCATTCAAGGCTTCAATATTTAATTTTGACCACGGAATTCACGAGTGAAAATATTCTTTCTATGAAAGTTGTAATTCTGATAAAGGACTAATTTTATCAAATTTTTCAAATCTAGGAATTATAGATCTTTTCGTCCATTTCATTAAGCATTTTGATTCATTTGTCAGCTACATTGATTTTTTTTTTTTTTTCATTTTTCAATTTCTTCAAGGGTTCAATAGGCGTTAATAAAGACAATAAAGAATTAATGGAACTGTCGAATTTTTCTGTTCCTCTTCCTATATGTTCCTTAACTTCATTAAACTATTCTGTGAACTATAATTTGTGCCGCATCTTCCTTAGTAGAATCCGTTCAAATGTATGACTTTTATCAACCTGAATAAGTATCTCCTAACAAATTACAATATACAAGACTTCTAATTTTCAAAAAACAGGGCTATATAATCGAACCCCCAATAACACCCACTTCTAAACGGCTATTGTTTCAGGATCGTTGAACAAAAATGTATAGTACAGTAAGACTCCGCTTAACACGGTGGGGATGCGTTTCTAGACAACAAAGCGCTAAGCTAAACAGCGTTAAACGAGGTCATTTTAACATAGAGTAAATAGGGATAGGGACCAAAATTCTACAAATTTTACTATAATTTAAGTTGTTTTTATATTAATTTGTATAATAATATATGTTAAATAACACATAAACATATGCACACACAGAAATGTAAAGTTTATTTTTTGTCCTGACTTTTCTGAAATTCTTGTTCTTTTGCAATAAAGTCGTGAAGTTTCATCCGTCGCTTTCTTCTTTCCTTAAGCAAATGTCGGTAGCAGAAGAAGTTTCATTTCCTAGTCCTGCTGTACCGATTAGATTGAGTTTAATCAACCTAACGATACAGCGATAGGCTCTTCTGGTTGAGAATGCTTGGATACCTTCAGTGATAACTTCTTCCACACTTAGTTCATGCAATTATCAGTTAATTTTTGCCAAGCGAAGTCGATATTTCCTATGGCATCCATGATGATATATTTTTTCCAAAATTGCACAAACAGATTTAAAGAAAGTACCCCTTTTCGCCATTTTTTAATCATTGGTTTGTGTTCACAAATAATCGTATTGTACACGAATCAATGAAATGCCGCGATAGTTTAAATCAGCGTAACTTTTGAACTTTTTTTTAGGCTTCGAGCAGATGGCCTTATATCGAATCAGCGTTAAGCGGGGTCTTAACTAAAGAACCTGAAAGCAACGACCATTCCCAACAACAGCCATTTTTCTGTTTCTGCAGTGGCCATTGTTCAGAGGTTTGGGTATATATATATATATATATGCCGTGTCCTTATCTAATTGGTCGATATCACTTATTATAAATATCCAGATTAGATCTTTTTAAACTATTATCATGGTTTAATGCTTTTAAATGTATTATTACAAAGTTTTAGTATCGCTAGATACTAAATGAATATATTTAAAAGATGTTATTATCTATGTTAAAGTAATGAATGTTTATAATATGCCTGAATATAGTTAAAATAGCCTACTCTTGTATGTAATTTATTTAAAATAAAAATTTATAATTAAACAAAATATTTACAATCTTTAACAAAATATCGATAAGTTTATCATGCGTAATACACGAAAACGTTTTTTATATTTGTTTAAAGTTGTCATTATTGGTATTATTTTACAAACTGTTGAATCAAATACAGCAGAAATTCTCAGACGTTTCGATATTTCAACTCTAACTGCATTAGCAACGCGTTATAACTTCATGGGCCCAGATAAATTTGAATTAGTGGACCTCGTGTACAGTATTGACTCACACACTTTTTTGGGGGGAAATATTTTCTTACAAAAGATTGTTTGGAGGCTCCCTGTTGGTGGGGGGCCAAGGCAATTGCCCTTTTTTGCCCATAGGATAACGTGCATACATCCCCTTTTTTGATACATGCCTCAATATCAAAAAAGGAAAGAGTTTAAGAATCGCTGCTTTACAGTAATTAACTTCTTTATTTTGATTCCTTATTTCTAAATTTTAAGTTTCCTTAATTATGAATTTCAAAGACAATGAATAAAAAAGCCATAATAATAAATCTATATTGACATCAATTCTAACAATCCCATATTCTATTATACTACTGTACAGTCATAATTGAGGATCGATTACATAAGTCGACTGATGTAATACTATTTATGAAATTAAAATGTATAAAAAGGCAGTTAAATTTACAAACATCTTCGTATAAAATAGCAACAATGAATGTGGGAGGTTCAAATTGATAAAATGGTTCCTGAATTGTATTTCTCGAAAAAATTGAAAATACTGTATGTATGTATTTCTTCTTGCATTAGTTGAAATAAATTTTCGAATGGCAGAGTATTTTAATATTTCCATCTTATTTGATGCTTAAGGATTAGAACAGATGCTGCCTCATTAAATTTGCTTTATAGAAAGTAAATTTTACTTTGTATGAACATTTATTTATTTGTTCTTTTTACTATTGAAGAGATGATAAATTATAGAAAAAATTTCTTTTGAAAAATTTGTACACTTTATATAAAAATATGCTTATATAACACGTCTCTAATTATAGTCGGGATCCATATTCAGGAAACTTTTTAAGTGAAATGAAATAGTATAGAAAAATAAATGAATTTTATGTAATGTAGTAGATACATGTTGAACGTAATCTAATGTTATCAATTAGCCAGCAGACACGCTGTTTTTGTTTTTATATCTTATATACATATTTGCCTTATTGTATAAACATATAATAGTAATAGATAATCTTAAAATTATTCTTAGGTGTGTACGTAAGACACGAAAGAACTTTGTCTACCGGTATTGATAAGGAATATCGAAAATTCCAGCCTCATGAAATGATTCTAATTTCAGTTGAGTGAGTAATAAATAGATAAATGGACTACTTCATTCAAATATAAAAACCTAGATAAAAAGTTAAAATAAGAAATATGTATTTGTAATTTTTGACTACTGCTAGAAAAAGCATGATCTAACACGTTGAGTTTGCTATAACTCCATCACATTGTATTAATTGCTTCGATGGAACAAGTTTGGATAAAATGAAGTAAATCGCATTGGCATTCAACGATGTTAATTTAATATGAAACGAAATCGTTTATTGATTGTCAGGCTTCGATTGATTGGTGGATAAGTTCGATGGTTTTATCCATCAATCAATCGATCTCCCGCACGTTGCCTTATTTTATCAATTCATTCAGTCTAGATTTCCTTTGTGTTTATTTTTTATTATAGGTTAAGGATCCTTTATCCGAAATGGATGGGACCGGAGGTGTTTTCATCTGATTTCATTTGATCTTTGTTGGTCTGATTTGACTTCTTTTACTGTGTCACTTATTTGGGAATTTTTATCAATTTTAGATGTGTTCACGTAGAGATGTTAATTGATCTGTTGGAAATAGCGCATATTTGTGTAGATTTTGAATGTGGTCTGGTAAACATAGGTTGAAAATTAGGATCGAATTACACTCGAAGAATATGAAACAATCATAGTTGTATGTTTACAGTATAGTACGTACAGTACTTCTCACGAAGTTTACCAGCCCTAAAAAAACGTTCTGTGGAGAACACTGAAATATTCCCAGTACTTCGTGGAATTTTCCATTAGTGGTGCGTCGTGTCGACACTCAAACTTTCATATTTTGGAAGTGTTTTGGTGTTTTGAAATTTTGGACGAGTGATTCACAACCTGCATCAGCAAGTCGACTATGATTAGTCGTCTCGTTGACAATAGATATCTTCCCGTCTACAATTTTCTATTAGCAACGTATGTGTTTAGTTAGCTTTTATATTGTGGTCAATATCCTGTACCCGTAAATGTATAAAGCATATACAGTAGACCCCTATAACACTGTAGATAATTCCGTATTATATGAATCCATGTTGTACGAGTCACTTAGATTTTACAAATACGTGTGCCGGGCTGTGAACGGCTCACGTATTTTTAAAATCTAAGTGACTCGTACAACATGGATTAATATAATACGGAATTATCTACAGTGTTATAGGGGGTCTACTGTAAACAAGTCGCTGTTAGATCAGGTAAAATAAATTTAGCAAAATGTGAGCATCATTATACTTACGTAGCAAAGCTTACAAGCGTACAGTTTATTCCATCTGACCTTTAACACACTTGTAAGACTTCCTATATATTTCTATTAACGCCAGTTGACCTACATCTTTATGGTCCTACATATAGACTGAAAATCTATATAATTACAGTATCGTATCACTTGAGACTGAAAAATGATTTTAAGTTTCTGAAAATGGATCCACATCATAAAAATTTGCATAAAATTTTTAAACAATTTAAACGACGACATCGAAAAGTATAGTTTTTTCATATACTCTAAACTATTGAATCACATTAATGGTATTATGTCAGAACAATGAAATTGCCAACTGGGAAAGGCTTCTTATTTTCATATTTTCGCATTATATAAATTTAGTTAAACGCCATCGTAATTTAAAGCGGATTTCAGTAACAAAGTTTCTCTCTTAGCTAAATGCTAAATAAAACGATGACATTTAACCATTATTTGAAGGCAATGGCAAACAAATGCACGCTTCATGATTCTGAGAATTATGAAGTACAAAATTAAACGAGATTTGTACTGACCAGAACTGCCGTTAAAATTAGAAAAGTGGTCGGGATTGGAATGGTGGTGGCTCCTTTATGTTTTTTATACTTATTCTTGCTTTTGTCTTTGTACTTTTTATCTTTATCTTTGTACTTGTTTTTATGTTTATCTTTATTCTTGATTTTCAAATCGATGTCTATGTCGATGTCGTCGTCGTCATCATCATCGTCATCATCTGTTATGACGAAAGCGTTCCGATCCCTGTAATCATTAGGTTCTTTGAAAAACATCACTATTCTTCCGTTTATTGGTTCCACCGGTCGAAAATTATTAACCAAATTATATCCGGAACTCTTTTTCAACTGTCGAAATCTTTCCAGCTTTGAAAATAAACGAAAATATGAAATTATCAGTTTTTAATTTGCTAAAAAAAAGTATCATTTTAAATACCTGACGTTCACTAATCGGCACTCTGTCTTTAAATACTGTCCAATGTACAGATTCGTGACACGGAGGCGAAGTCAGAGATCCCATATATCTATAATAATCCTTAGAAGTGGAGGGTAGAAGATTGATCAGATAAAATAAATTCGGAATTTCCGTCGAAGAATTTGCTTCGATAATTTTATGCATGCTGCGGAGAATAGGTCTTAATTTTATATTATCTACTGAAGAAATCTAAAGGAAAGTTTGAAACAATTTTGGACTTTTTGTTTGTACTCGTATTATAATATATTTAGAATATACAGCAAATAAATTTAATTATAACTTACTCTGAATAGTACCGATAAAACTGCCAAACCGTCCGGTTTAGTTGCAGCCTCTTCTGGTTCATATTGAGTGTTGTAATGGATCAACTGCATCTACGGCAGAGATGAAAGATTAGGTTAGCTTAATCATATCTGTTTCTATCGCTTAGATTAAAGAAACTTACTTCTAAAGGAGAATAACGACCGGAGAAAGCGTGCTCGGAACCGACTTCATTTGTGTGTCCCCAATGAAAGATGATTTTCAAAAATTTGTATACGCCTATTAAACCACCTCCTGTAAATCTCGGTAAACCTGTATCTTGTCGGATTTCTAATTGGACTAGAAATATAAAAGAAAACAATTATTTATTGTGACATGGTCACAATGCCTGACTGCAATTTTTATCGTATTTTTAATTTATTTAATTTAAAAATATATGCTCTCCACCTCAAATTAGTAGTGGCTTGCCCCTGTACATCATGCTTTTCCCGTTAGCAAGAGAGTCGTGCCGTCAACTATCTAACTCCTTTCGGGGGAAAATTTTTGAATTGGAATAATTATACTTATACAATATTATTACAATTATTACATTATTAAATTAAAATCTTTTCTTATTAATGAACTTAATAAGAAACGGTTTTATTTATGTATTATATCTAAGCTTGAGTCATGCATTTCTATAAATGATAGAGGCACTGACATTACTAGAAGTTCTATTTAAGAAAGCACAAATTACTGTATTAACAATGTATTGCCAATTTTAAACTGTAGTGAGAGCTTACATTGAAAGAATTAAAGATCTCAGAAATTTCGGACATTTATTACATGTTTATTATCTCTTCCTATGAATCTAAAATGAATGGTATTAAAGTAAAAACCAAATTCACGCTACAACGAAATGTAATGCTGATTGGTTACTTTAATCGAATATTCCGAAATACTTATTGAGCCAGTTCAGATATTTGAAAGACATATAAAGTTTATATAACTGTTTATAGAAGCATTAAATACTCATAGCTGCATTGAAATTCCTAAACGTGAGGAGCATAAGTATAAAACTGCATTAAGATCCAACCATCTTTTCTGATTCTTGGATCTTATAGTTTCAAGTTGCTGTCTCATGATCCATGATATTTTTTGACAAAAAGCCTGTAATAAAATCGATACATCGGATCATGTAAATGTTAATTTCGACCGTTAACAGCTGTGAAGTTTCGACATTTTTGTTTAGACTCTTAAAAATATGTTTAAAACTAGCTGTTGCCCGCGACTTCGCCCGCGGAGGTTTTGCAAGCAAACCCCATTTATATTCAGTATTTCAACAACCATAGTAATTGTTATATAACACCTACCGCCGAGAATGATGAGAATTGCCGAGAATCAAACAAACAATTTTCAATTTGATCAATTTTCTGGAACGTTTACAATCGTTCTATAATCGAACCGATACGCAATAACAAATTCGAATCTAAAAAGGTTCGAACATTTGGTTAAAAAATCGAAATATATAAAAATATTTATAACAATGTCTGAAATGTTATAATTTAATACACCTAAGTACTTAATGAAGACTAATCGTAACAAAAAATCGCGTGTGAAATAGTACAGTAGAAGCCATTCTTCCTGTTAAGCCTTAAATGCTCTCACTCTCCCCCCCGCTGGGGAATTTCGAAAAATCCCTTCTTAGTGTGCATTGCCATGGCGTACCCAACTAAAACGTTTAACATTTTTCGAATGGTGTGGGACGTCATAACACCATTTATATTTATTATTTCAACAACCATAGTTATGATGTAATTTATAACAATCCAAATGTATAAAATTATTGCGTTAAACATACCCCTTATTACTGAGAATCTTCTAATTCAATCGAATGTTTTCAATCTGACCAATTTTCTAGAACGTTTGCAATAATTCTATAATCGAACAAATATGCAGTAACAAATTCGAATTTTAAAACGGTTCGAACATTTAATTAAAAAATCGTAATATGTAAATATCGTACATTTGGAAATTAAGTTATTACCACCAGAAACAAAAAATCGCATTTAAAATAGAACAGTAGAAGCCGTTCTTCCGGTTAAGACTTAATCCTCCCCCTCTTTCCACCGCGGGGGAATTTCGAAAAATCCCTTCTTAGTGTGCATTACCATGTCATACCCTACTAAAACGCATATAAAAACAAAAAATCGCATCTAAATAGTACAGTAGAAGCCGTTCTTCCGGTTAAGACTTAATCCTCCCCCTCTTTCCACCGCGGGAGAATTTTGAAAAATCCCTTCTTAGTGTGCATTACCATGGCATACCCTACTAACACGCATATAAAAACAAAAAATTGCATCTAAAATAGTACAGTAGAAGCCGNCAAACTGCATTTGATTTTTTTAAATTTTAGTTTTCTCTATAAAAATCACTTGTTTTCTAAAGTCTCAGCTAAAGCATTTTATTCTCGAAGTTGTAACTGTAGACATGTTTGATTGTATATAACTTTCCATTTTAAATAATTCTAACAAATAAAAACTTCCTTGAAAAGAATGAATTGGAAAGAAATTGGATTGAATTAATGGGCGCATGCATTTTGGCCATCTGCCAAGTGAGGATGCCCCTCGTGTGGACTTTCAATGGAAATCTCTCTTATTTAAGTGTTAGACACGCGAAGAAACCCGGCAAACTCCCGGTGTTCGGCCCGTTTGTCGGGTTCGAACCCGCAAACCAATCACCGGTATTCGGGGGTTTTATTCACTCGGTCACTGGTGGGAACAATCCGAAAAGGATTAGGTTTTTGAGATGATCTCATTGATCATTTCTCCATATTTTAGTTTTTAAATTGTATTTTTTCATTTGTTTGTTTGTTAAAAATTGTTTTTATTCGTACGTAATGAACATATCGATCACACAGAACTTCAAGGACGAGTTGGATGGGAGAATTCGTAGTAGTAGAGCAGTGTTGTATCTATTTTTAGTCGTAAAGAGGTATTTTCTCTCCTGACAAGCATTTAAGCAATCAAATAGTGAAACTGATATTAATTAAATCTTATAATTTTGTTGTTTTTAAAAAGAAGAGATAATAAATAATACGAAAAGTGGAAGAAAAAACTAAAATCGAGTAAATTTGGTAAATAATTACTCACCCCTCGAAAGGAAGAGGAGGAAGAAAGCTATAAATAAGTCGAGCATCAGTCACGCATTTAATGTTATGAACCGCTAATTTAAAACCTGAACGAGAAGTGTGTTGCTGACATCGTCGACGAATCGAATGTATTTAGGTGTGGCGAGGGCATGACGTATGATACTTTGTGGAGATAAACACATGACGCCACTCTTCCTCGATCGATCGCGTAAACCAAAATAAAAGTTAATCCATTATTATTTAAATGTTCGTTGTAAAAGTAACTTACCATCTCAAACTCTGATATTTTAACACGCTTTCACGCCGGGAGCCAATAAATTCCGATAATCTATCGCTTTTAAAGTATAAAGATAAGCAACGGCGCATCTGTGTGACCACGACTGAAAGTAATTAAAGAGCTTTCTAAAAACAAAACTGGATTTCATTCTTTAAAAAATTTTTATAATCACCTAATGAATTTTATTGAATTCGCATTAAAATTTTTCATCCGTTCAACTCAGCCTCCCCGAGATTAAATCCTGAATGCGCCACTAAAGGGCCCACCAATGGCCGAACAGATAAGACCACTGAATACCGGTCGTGGGTTCGTGCCTGACCAACGGGTTGGCCACACTTTGGCAACGTTAAGTTCAATATTTATATTTTAATTTACGTAATTTATGGTGTTCGTTATTTTTCGAAATTGTCTTTATGATAACGTGTACAAACGCGCTTAATGTTTTTTCTTTAATATTTCAAACAATATTTATTACGGCGATTTTACTCGTTATTAACATTTACAATTTTTTTTATAAAACCCATTCCTACCCTCAAAATTAAGTCTTTTGCTATTTTATAATAGTTAAAAATATAACAAGTTTTTAAAACAAAATATTATAATAGATGGCGCCACCAATGTTTCCGGGAAAGTTAAGCAACTCGTTGCTGGACTTTCTTAAGAAAAAGTAGACATTCACCAAATTAAAATGATTCAACAGAGGACGCGATTACTATCGAGGTTACTGCCCACGTTTTCGCTTTGAAAACGTCGGCCGCTACCTCGCCACTGTTTTTAGACAGTACAGTATATCGAATGATCTAACGAGATTCCAGATTCCAACCCGCTTCAATTTTGGATCAACAACGGTAGATAAATTGTTTTCGGATTATCGAAATAAGGATATCACAAATGTGGCTGTAATTTGTTATTCCTCTTGTCATCTCCGAGAGATTCTTCTGGACAGCCAGACATATTATATTTCTCGGCTTCTTTTCTCAGAGATAAACTATTTAATATTTCTTTAAAAAATAATTTATTAATTGAAGTATAGTTTGTTTGTTTATTAAATAATCAGTTTTTATTTCGTGTCCAGTTTACATTAATAGGTTAGCAATTGATATCTATGGCTTTAAAATCTTTCAAAACGCCATCTGGGATATAAATTTAAGATGGTCGATTAAATATATTTATAAAAGTATTTAATAAGTTTTAAATTTATCTAATAATACATTTTATTTTAAATGAAATATATTTATTCACTTTCTACATTAAATTCTCAATAATAATTGTTCTTAATCTCGTTGAATTAAACCTAAATTTATTTAAAATTTTCAAAAGTTAATTTGTTAAAGTAATTACTACTATAGAATTCCTTCCGCTTTTATTACATAATTTAAAAATTAATAAATTTTTACGAGAAAATATACAATTTTTAATGATTATAAATCATAGTTAATAATCCGATCACGTGATCACTTTAGGTTTTTTTTATTACAAACAAAATGGCCGCTTTTGTAACTTATTTCTTAATTAATTTAATAATAAGTAATACATTATAATTGATTCTCTTTTATCAAAATGAAATATTAATGTTTTATTACTTCTAATTTTTAATGCTTTTCTTGCAAATACAGGTATTGAATTAGAAGCTGTACAAGACAATTGGTCTTATGAAGGCCTAACAGGTACTATACAGTACTGTATATTTTCACTTGTAATTCTAATTATTGGAAATTGCTTTAATTTCCAATATTTAGAATGACAAAAATGTTTTCTTTTCGTTTTCCTGTAGCCACATCATTATGTCTAGGATTGCCACGTGATATTTAAGGGCTCTTGATCGATTTTACACGCACACGAATAAGGATAAAAGGCTTAATTTTGAGGGTACAGATGAATTTTTTTTTATTTTTAATTTTCAAATGCAAGTAACGAGTAAACTTTTCGTTGCCTACTCTGGATATGACAAATGACTGCCCCTCTATCTCCCCATTCCCTTAACTTTTAATTATCAAAATTTAATAGCATAAACGTAGAATACATAGAAATAAACCTGCCAAGTTTCAAAATTTTTGGTTTATGTAATACCGAGTTACAATGCAAAATAGACGCGGGCACAGAATTTTGTAGGGATTTTTTACGTGTTTTTGGGTTAACAAATGTTCTTAATAAAATCTGTTATATTAATATATATATATATAGATTGAATAAGAGTATACGGTATCGCTCTTTCTCTCGTGTTACGTTCAAATGTTCATGAAACACTGATAATGTGTTCTAACAATATAGGTCCAAAACACTGGAAGAAATATTATCCTGCTTGTGGAAGAGGAGATCAATCACCTATTGATATTTTTAAAAAAGGTATAAAAACAATACTTAGAAGAAAAACTTCACCATTAACTTATAACCATTACGAAAACTACGTGACTCATGGAATTATGAAAAATGTTGGTTCTACTGGTAAGCATCCTTTTAAATAATTCTTATTGTACGCTTATAAAATATACATTTATAATAAACAATAATTATAAGAAAATTTCTCATATAATAAATTTTAATTGTCGCATAGTAACATTGCATATTAAAGATATCAAGCCATCAATTACCTTCGAAACCCATTTTAAGGTAACATTTAATTTCGAAGAAATAAGATTTCATTGGGGAGATACAAACAGTAAAGGTACAGAACATGTCTTTGATGGAGAACATTTTGCTTTAGAGGTATTCCAAAAAAATAACTAAATTAGAAAACACAGTAGTAATTAATGAGAAAAAATTTATTTTCTATAATTCTTTATTATTCAGATGCAATTAATTCATTACGACAACAGATTTGAAAGTTATGATGTAGCTAAAGTGAATGGATCCAATATCGCTATTCTTGCAGTATTATATGAGGTGGTTTCTTCTGTTTTTTTAAATTCATATATACTGTTTTTTATTTACGAATTCGTTACTTATCAATTAAGGCTTCCACTAAAGAAAATAAACATCTAACTTCTATTATCGAAACATTAGACGAGATTACGTATGTTAATCAAGAAGCTAGATTAAAGTATGCCATGAAATTACGCGATATGCTACCCTCCTCTCTCGATTTTATTAGATACGACGGTAGCTTGACAATACCTCCTTGTACGTCGGGAGTATCCTGGTGGATTTATCGAGATTTGCATCATATAAGCGACTTTCAGGTACCTTACGTTAACTAAAAAAATAGATATTTGTAATGCTGTGCAAATTAACTGAAGCCATTTTTCGTGAATAGTTTTTGTATAATAATAATAATAGGAAATATATTTATTACTAAAAAATAATATTAGATGATAATAATTATAATATACTCAGTAGACTCTTGATATAGCGAACAATTTTGTTGTCCAAATTATTCTTTATGTATATAGTGAACTCTCATACAGTGAATAATGTAGTTTAGTCTTTTGCTAGTTCATTGTACCGAGAATTAAAGTAAGTATAACGCTGCTACTTTTGTGGAATTTTTTTGTTGCGTGCTATTTGCTGGATTCGTTTTGAGAAGCTGCGGACTTTCAGAAGAGAGAAATATCAGATATGTTTTTCTTCGCTTATTAACTTCCGAACGACTTTAGTACACTTATGAGACTTTTCGGAGCTCGGTGCTGATAATCTCCCCAACAGTCTAAAATATCATATTTAATCTCTATTTTATTTCGTGATTTTTTTTCCTTTTATCTTTCAAATTAAAAGAAAATTCTAAGTCGAATATTAGAAGTGATTTGGAATACTGTTTTTAAACATCTTACTTAAAAACATACGGTCGTACTCACAACTAACGAGTAAGAATTAACTTTTTAGTGATGAACTTTTAACTTTAACTGTCGATTCTTCGTTGTGAATGCGGCCGATTGTTTCATTGGATTTTACGATAACAAATAAGGGAATATGGGGCAAGAGTACGTGGTTTTTAGATTTTGAATTAATGCACTCACATTTATCAGTATTCTTAAACTCTCTACAAAACAATACTACACACATTTGGCTTTTATGGGTGTTTTATTTATCTAATTACTGTAGTATGTATATGAGACATACACAAAAACAGTAATTATTATAACCTTTTTTTTTTGTGTACTCTTTCTTCAATAGCGGGATAAGAGTACGCATTAGAAAGGGTACCCATGTGATTGTATTATTATATCTTATATTTTTATATTAACAAAGATTACATACTCCTGATTCTTCATAGCCAGTACATTCTTCATGCCACCATTCTTTACATTTTATCCATTTTTCTGATGGTAGTTCTTCATATTTTTGATTGCAAATATGACTTTAACAGTTTTTGCTTTTTTTCAGAAATTACGTTTGGGAATTTGCCGGGTACTGCGCTGATTCCAGTTCCATCCATGTTAAATATTTTTGTGGGTCCAAATGTTATGTTTTATAGCCTATAGTTCTTGCAGCAAATTGTAAAATTTTGCAACTTGGGGGTAATTGAAACCCATTGCTTGAACAACACTTGTAGGTTCAGGTTGGCGAAAGGATAAAGAAGGTCCATTAAATTTCTCTGCAGTATTGAGAAAGTTCCTTGAGTTGCTCTTGGTTAAAATTTGCTTAAATCTCCAAAGATATGCTGGAATGCAGTTAGGATACTGTAGTCAAATGGGCCAAGTATATTTCCATGTAAGGGGCATATTTCTATTTAAATTCAATTTGTTGATCTTAATTAAATAAGATCATCAAACATCCCCTAACATTCCCTTACAGCAGCAATCGGCTAATAATTATATGGATTTTATAAAACAGCCTACTTCGTGCATTCGTGTCCTTTAAGACACGTTTACAATGGCCTTTAGCCAACTGATAATGCCAACAAAATGAAAAAGTTAATTATAAATAGTAATAAGTATGTTTTATATACAGAAAACTAATAAAAAAAATAGGTAAATTAGTTTAAAGATTAAGAAATTTTTTACTAATAGAAGCTGTTACGAGTAGGAATATAGTTTAGTGTAATGAACATGATTTAGAAATTTTAGTGTTAAAAATAATAATAAAGAACTGTTTGGATTAATTTGCACAGCTGTTAATATAAAAATAGGTTTCGAAATTGTGCATAAAATTAGTTTTTATCTTACAGATTAGTAAATTTCGAAAATTATCAATGACGAAATTTAACCTTTCTACAAATGCTTGGGGTAATATCAGACCATTAACTGGAAGGTTTCTAAGAAAAGTCGAGGTTTATTCCACCAGCAGTTTTAACTATCCAATGATTATTCTTCATGTTTTAATATCATCGAACTTATTCATTTTTTATTCAAATGTTTCATAACTTTATTATTTGAACTTGATAATGTTTTTAATACATTTATTCATTCAACTAGAAATTACATCTTTTTATTTATTTATAATTGAATACTTTCAAGATTTTATTATTTAATCCGTAAATTTCGTTTCTGATAGCGATCTTTTGTTGTTATAAAATGCAAATTGGAAACGTATTGTAAACGTATTTCATATTTAATTAATACAACAGTTACATTAATTGTACAAGATATGTAATAAAATTCAGTTTGTATTAAATTACATGTAAAGTTTTTAAAAAATCTCAATTTTATTTTAACTATCAGATGTACTGTACATAAAAATTTCCGTTCTTTGTTTACTCTGTTTAAAGCTTAATAACTCCTGTGCTTTTTGTCGAAAATTTCTGAAATTCTGCAGACAGGTTTTCTATTTATTACGGGGATTGATGCTATTAAATTTAGGTTGGTTAAAGAAAGAGGGAATGGGGAGATTTAATTCAATTTTTTTAATTCAGAAATTCTAGAATGTGTTCAAGACAGAATCAAAATTCATAATTTTTATTTTCATTTTCTTTCGCTTAAAACTTAAAATTATAATTTTGACACATTCTCGCTTCTGAGAATTTAAATTTTGCCTTTCTTTTATTTAAAAAAAGTGGAAAAAATATGTATTTCGATTATGATGGCGATAAATAATGGATTTTCTTCAAAGTATTCAATGTTTTATCACTCGAAGCACAGCAGAATATAATATAATGTAATAATTATATACATGTTTTTTGCTTGCAGCAGAGATCATTTTCTTTTATTTTAATATAATAAAGGAAATTTAGATAATTACAATTGCCAAACTGAATATATAAATATGAAATAAACCATAGATAAATATTTTATATCAATATAATATTAGTATTTACAAATACGCTGCGAAAATACAAATAAAAATATGAAAAGTGTAGTTGTTATATTTAAAAGAAGTTTTTAAATAATAATTTATCGAACAAAAATAATTTTAGTATGAAAAATTCGTGTTTATGTGATTTCAATAGTCCTATGTCGACTTACTTATACGAAGAGAAATTTTGGTTTACGTCATTTTCCACGTACTGCTTTTGTACTTTTATGCATAATATGCATAAGAAATTACAGTAGACTGTGTGTTTTTCATGCCAAATTAAATAATAGCCAATGTTTTCACCCTCCTTGCAAAGTATAAAGAATAACACTAACAATAGAAAGACTATTTTAAATTTCTAGAAATTATTCTCTTTATTTACTTGTATGTAATAATTTAAGGAATTAACATTAGGAATTTTTAAAAACTTTTCAATTAAAACATTACTTTCCAGTGGCATGAGCCTATGCTCATGCCACTGGAAAGTAATGTTTTAAATACATTTTAAGTAACTTCACTTATGTAATTTATGAAAATTATTACTTAATAACACAGAATAACGAATTATTGGGCTTTATTAACGAATTATTCATAATCTTGTTTTCATACTTTTTCTAATTCATGCACTGGTGATAATGAAAAGAACTGCATCTATTTACAGTTATTGAAGCAAGCTATTCAAAATTACGTGCTCATGGACAAAATATTAAGTAGTTGAAAATGTAATAAAACTCATTCACTGATATTTTCAACATGATTTATTTCAATATATAATGCGTAGAAATGGTTGTCGATTGAACGTTACAATTAAAATAAACTGAGATTATAGATAATAGAATGCATAAAAAAATAATTATCATTTTTTAGTCTATATGCATTTATATTCGTTCACACGTGATGATTTAATTTCGAATTATATTTAACACTTATAAAAGTGCATCTGAGCTAGTAACAATCATATTACATAAAAATTACATTATGTTTAATGTAAAATGTGTTAAAATTTCAATTTTCTTCCTGACAATTTTCTCGCTTTATCATATTTTTCTGTTAATGCATATACAGCATTTGAAATTCGTATATAATTAAAAAATTTTATGAATGCTTGATATTTTAAGTGATAAATTTATTCACTAGTCTAATTTCCTGGCTTAACGATAATATGTAATAAATTTCGCCAAAAATTATACATTTTAATAGTGTTTCCTAACAAAACCATAAGAAAAATACCATATATCAATACTTTATACCTGTTCTTATCATATACATAGTATACGATTCATATACAGTGAAACCTGCTAATGTGACCACTGAAGGGACAAGCTCAAAGTGGTCACCTATTACATTAGCAGGTTTTACTGTAAATAATAAATTACACAGTTTGTATTCACATAAGGCCTATGTCATATATAAGTTAAGTTTTTTAAAAGATATAAATGAAAAAGAATATATAAAATCATTGTGTACCTCAAGTATAAGAGAATATAATTAAGTTGTACTGTACAGTACATAACAGAAATTAGAGTATTTTCCACAGAAAAGCGGCTAATTTCTGAAAGAACGGCATTTTAATACCTTTCGAGAGACGAAGATACTTTTCTAATGGATCTGTTTCTATGGTTTTAACTGGATAAAGCAGCAAATCCTCTTAGGATTTCATAATTGTCTTGCGTTTGATTTTTATCAACGTTACAAAGTTCTAGATGACCAAATAGTCGTAGGCACCACCCCATACTACTATTAATAATAACAGTGTCACTTTTGGAGTTTCGGTAGAAACACCGTTATTGCGACCTCTGCCTCTTCTGCTGCTTCGCCCTCCTTTAGATCTCTTAACTTTGAATTTAGGTATGAATATAGGTTTGATTTTGACAGGTTTCTTCTTCTTGTGATCTTCCTCTGAAGTGTCATCGTCATCCTCTGGCTTTATCGAATAAAACTGTACAATTTTTCCGTTTGTGAGTTCTACCAATTGGGAGTTATTTACTGAACTAGCTCCGGTTTTCTTTTTCAGTCGGTGGAATTTTTCAAGCTTTAAAATGAAATGCGTGTGAGAATATTTGCTTTAAAAATTTTTAAATGTTTTAATTTACCTGCGATTGGCTAATTGTTAGTCTCTCCTTAAATATTGTCCACGGTGCGGATTGGTAACAAGGGGAAGAAGTCAAAGATCCCCAATATCTATAATAATCCGTTGAAGCGATATCTCTATCGTAAGGCAATAAAAAATTACGAATGGTCTTCGATGTGTTTTCCTTCATAATGTAGTCTAGAGCATCGGTAATTGGTCTCAATATAAGATTTTCTTCGTTGGAAATCTGGAAAGAAGGTGAAAGTTATAATCGAATAAATTCTCTTAATAATTTAACTACATAAATTGTATAGATCGAACGATGAACAAACCAATTTAAGTCGTAAAGTTGAACTATATTTACAGATTCTATAAGAATTTAATGAAACGATTGCAGTTAGATAAAAGGACGGAATGATGATCTAATACAGTACATTCCTTGATTTCGTGCTTGTTATATACATTAGTTTTAAATAATTAAGTGAATGTTTGTCATTTTCTTATGTAAATTAATTAAGGCTATGAAATTTACCCGAAAGAGAAATGCCAAGATTGCCAAACCGTCTTTTTCAGTTATGGCTTCATCTTCTTCCTCGTATCGAGTATTGTAGTGAACGATTTGCATCTGATACAGAATAAATTAAATTAAAATTCGATAGACATTTATATTTTCGTTTATACGGTTAATATTTTACAATAGATATTAGCAGACCAACCTCCAAGGGAGAATAAGTTGCAGAAAAAGCGTGCTGGGATGGCCAGTGAAAGATGATTTTTTGAAATTTATACTTGTCGTCGTTTAAGCCTCTAATGGAAATGCTTTGTATCGGATTTTCGATTGTTAATTGAACTAAAAACGTATCAAATTAAATGAAATTGATATTTAATTCGTACTATTAAAACAAATAGGAGATATTTTTACCTGAAATTCCATTGGTTTTGACTTTGGCATTTTTAACGACGGTATCGTAATCGTTAAATTTGATCACTTCGTATTGTGCCATATTTTCGATTTTAGCTTTGAACAGATCGATTGGCGATTGTCTCGTACCGTTACAAGAAGGATGAAGTTCTTTCCACTTATCCGAACCTTCAAAGAAGGATATAAAATTATTCTTTTATTTTTTTTAAATTGCTAAACCCGATAAAAAAAAGTTTTTTTCATTTGCTTTCTTCTACTTTCAGCTTTACGGTAAGCTGGAAGAATAAAATGAAGTACATATAACAATTGTAGAAGTTAGTTAGTACTTATTATACTACCGCTGCTCTTCTCCAATGGCACTAATTTGGTAACCGGGGCCAACATATCACGGACAAAAATCACCCACGAAAAATTTATTTATATTATTGTCGATTCAAATTTTTAATTGCAAGATAAGCCTTTTTGATGCATATTATAATAATTAATTTGGTCACAAATTAATACAGTAGAGCGTCGATTATCCGAATCAATTGGGGAACTGGGGATTTCCGGAAAAAATAAACGCTATTTCGGATAACCGATTATGCACGAAAAAAATATATTAACCTATCCCATGTTGAAATTTTCTCCGTTGCGTGTCGCTTCGCGTTGAATTTTCGTCGATGTTAAGCCTAACGTAAACTTTTTAAAATAATAATCGTGACTATTGTATCGTTAAAAATTATTTCTTTATTTTGTACAAACAAAATAAATATATTGAAAAATATAAAAACAATAAAAAAAAAATTATACTTCAGAAGTTAATTTAGTATCAAAAACGTAAAATATTTGAGTAGCCCAAGACATAGCCAAAGATTGCAGCGCCACAGCACTGGCGAAAATTTAAATTTGCCGACGAATTCTTTCGGATAATTGACGTTTCGGATAATCGACGCTGTGTTGTATTTATGTTGTATACGTAGCACAAGAATTCGAAAAATGTCGGTGTCAAAATTAAATTTTTTTTTTACGCACGGATTTAAATGTCAAAAACTGAATTTAAAAAACACATTTAATTGAATCTTAAAAAGTTACAATTAAATTAGAAATTTATTGCTTTACATTTTAATGATTTAATGATATTTAAGTATAAATAATAAATTTATATTAAAAAAAATAACGATCAACTCGCCTGCATCGCCGTCATGATCTAAAACTGATGCATTGTTATTTCGATTTTCTTCTTTTCCTATAAAACGAGGTAAATAATAATTTAATTATAAAACTTATTAAAAAGGAGCGAGTGAAATTATAATTTAAATATTTTTCTTGTATAATATCTTTACATATTTCTACAATAACAATTACTGTTTACAATAAAAAAATATATGTTCAATAATTCAGTTGATGATACAATATTAATACAAGTCCAGTCGATCCCCTATAACACTGTTGATAATTCCGTTTTATATGAATTCCATGTTGTACGAGTCTCCTAGATTTTACAAATACGTGTGCAGGGCTGTGAACGGCTCACGTATTTGTAAAATCTAAGTGACTTGTACAACATGGAATTCATATAAAACAGAATTATCAACAGTGTTATAGNTTTTCTCCGTTGCGTGTCGCTTCTCGTTGAATTTTCGTCGATGTTAAGCCTAACGAAGACTATTGTATCGTTAAAAATTATTTTTTTATTTTGTACGAACAAAATGAATATATTGATAAATATAAAAACAATAAAAAATTATACTTCAGAAGTTAATTTAGTATCAAAAACGTAAAATATTTGAGTAGCCCAAGACATAGCCAAAGATTGCAGCGCCACAGCACTGGCGAAAATTTAAATTTGCCGACGAATTCTTTCGGATAATTGACGTTTCGGATAATCGACGCTGTGTTGTATTTATGTTGTATACGTAGCACAAGAATTCGAAAAATGTCGGTGTCAAAATTAAATTTTTTTTTTACGCACGGATTTAAATGTCAAAAACTGAATTTAAAAAACACATTTAATTGAATCTTAAAAAGTTACAATTAAATTAGAAATTTATTGCTTTACATTTTAATGATTTAATGATATTTAAGTATAAATAATAAATTTATATTAAAAAAAATAACGATCAACTCGCCTGCATCGCCGTCATGATCTAAAACTGATGCATTGTTATTTCGATTTTCTTCTTTTCCTATAAAACGAGGTAAATAATAATTTAATTATAAAACTTATTAAAAAGGAGCGAGTGAAATTATAATTTAAATATTTTTCTTGTATAATATCTTTACATATTTCTACAATAACAATTACTGTTTACAATAAAAAAATATATGTTCAATAATTCAGTTGATGATACAATATTAATACAAGTCCAGTCGATCCCCTATAACACTGTTGATAATTCCGTTTTATATGAATTCCATGTTGTACGAGTCTCCTAGATTTTACAAATACGTGTGCAGGGCTGTGAACGGCTCACGTATTTGTAAAATCTAAGTGACTTGTACAACATGGAATTCATATAAAACAGAATTATCAACAGTGTTATAGGGGGGTCGACTATATATAAATTTTGAATATCCACAGCTTATCTTGTCTATATAAATTCTTTAATTGAATCTAAATTACATAATTTTTTAAAATAATAAGTTATAATAGTTTATCGCATGAGATCTTATTGATAAAATAAGGGCAGTGTGATTTAATAAATTCAAGTCTGTCTGTCGAATATACTCGTGTAAGGTAATAATTTTACGCTAATTTAAGCTTATTTTATCATAAAATCTATCCCTAAAATACTGGCAAGGAGTTTTGTTACACCCCGTGTAATTATTACATTTAGCATCTTTCAAATATGTTAAATACAGTTATTATGAAATTAAAAGATTCGAGTTACTGAAAGGATGGCGTTAACATTGAAAGAATAATCACCATGTTCGGATCACACATTATTGCGTGACCCAATAAAATGAAGTAAGAGATTAGCGTGATATCTTCTGTATAAATTGTGTGTGTAAATAAACAGGATATGACATAAGTTTTCCATTAATTAATAGAAAAGGTTCTAAAATATGATAATTCTTCGCTGATATTTTAAGAGTAATGTGCTACTTTTTACTTTCCTGGCTGTTATATATAACAGAGGGAAATTATGGCTATTGGTCAAAAAATAAACCCCATCAAGATACGTATATTTTTGGACTCGGGACACATTGAAACGTCGAGAAATGAAAAAAAATTCGGGGGTAATTTCTGTTTGTATGGATGTTTGTGTGTGGGGGCACGATTTTGTTCAACCTGTTCAAGCTTAATAAGTCCTGNCAAGGAGTTTTGTTACACCCCGTGTAATTATTACATTTAGCATCTTTCAAATATGTTAAATACAGTTATTATGAAATTAAAAGATTCAAGTTACTAAAAGGATGGCGTTAACATTGAAAGAATAATCACCATGTTCGGATCACACATTATTGCGTGACCAATAAAATGAAGTAAGAGATTAACGTGATATTTTCTGTATAAATTAGGTATGTAAATAAACAGGATATGACATAAGTTTTCCATTAATTAATAGAAAAGATTCTAAAATATGATAATTCTTCGTTGATATTTTAAGAGTAATGTGCTAATTTTTACTTTCCTGGCTGTTATATATAACAGAGGGAAATTATGGCTATCGGTCAAAAAATAAACCCCATCAAGATATGTATATTTTTGGACTTGGGACACATCGAAACGTTGAGAAATGTAAAAAAAATCGGGTGTAATTTCTGTTTATATGGATGTTTGTGTGTGGGGGCACGATTTTGTTCACCCTGTTTCAAGCTTAATAAGTCCTGTGCTTTTTGTCGAAAATTTCTGAAATTTTGCAGGGATGTTTGTTTATTAGGGGGATTGATGCTATACAATTTAAGTGGTTAAAGGTCGAGGGATTGGAGAGATAATAGGGGGTTGCGTATATATGTCCAGTAGGGCCGGATTTAATGACGATTTTACTCGTTATTAGCATTTACAATGTTTTTATATATATATAATAACGAATAAAATCGTCATATTACTCGTCAAATAGAGCCGAGTTTTATATATATATATATAAAACTCGGCTCTATTTGACGAGTAATATGACGATTTTATTCGTTATTATATATATATAAAAACATTGTAAATGCTAATAACGAGTAAAATCGTCATTAAATCCGGCCCTACTGGACATATATACGCAACCCCCTATTATCTCTCCAATCCCTCGACCTTTAACCACTTAAATTGTATAGCATCAATCCCCCTAATAAACAAACATCCCTGCAAAATTTCAGAAATTTTCGACAAAAAGCACAGGACTTATTAAGCTTGAAACAGGGTGAACAAAATCGTGCCCCCACACACAAACATCCATATAAACAGAAATTACACCCGATTTTTTTTACATTTCTCAACGTTTCGATGTGTCCCAAGTCCAAAAATATACATATCTTGATGGGGTTTATTTTTTGACCGATAGCCATAATTTCCCTCTGTTATATATAACAGCCAGGAAAGTAAAAATTAGCACATTACTCTTAAAATATCAACGAAGAATTATCATATTTTAGAATCTTTTCTATTAATTAATGGAAAACTTATGTCATATCCTGTTTATTTACATACCTAATTTATACAGAAAATATCACGTTAATCTCTTACTTCATTTTATTGGTCACGCAATAATGTGTGATCCGAACATGGTGATTATTCTTTCAATGTTAACGCCATCCTTTTAGTAACTTGAATCTTTTAATTTCATAATAACTGTATTTAACATATTTGAAAGATGCTAAATGTAATAATTACACGGGGTGTAACAAAACTCCTTGCCAGTATTTTAGAGACAGATTTTATGATAAAATAAGCTTAAATTAGCGTAAAATTATTACCTTACACGAGTATATTCGACAGTACTTTTAAGTGTAAAATTTGAATTTATATATTAAATCACACTGCCCTTATTTTATCAATAAGGTCTCATACGATAAACTACAGTAGACCCCCCTATAACGCTTAGATACGTTCCACGCTAATCGAATTTTACGTTGTAGGAATNGTTTATATTTAACTTAGGCATTGGCCTTTCTCTTTTAATAAT